GTCCTTGCCCATAAGACTCTAATTCTAGGTTCCTCCTAATTTTTCTATAATCAACATGTTTTCCCTTTTCTTTAAATTTAGGATTTTAAAGCATATACGTGAGACACAATCTACTAATTTTTTCTTTGATCTATATCTCGTCTACTAGTATTTATAATACTTCAGGAGCTAATGAAACTATTTTAGTAAAATTCAATTCTCTTAATTCTTCGGCAACCGCGCCAAAAACTCGAGTTCCTTTTGGATTTCCTTTTTGATCAATGATAACTGCTGCATTGTCATCATAGCGTATTATTATACCGTCGTCGCCTTTGAATTCTTTACGTGTACGTACAATTACAGCTCGAATTACTTCGGATCTTTCTAGAGGCATTTGGGGCACTGCGTCTTTGATTACAGCAATAATAACATCACCAATACGAGCATATCGCTGATTACCAGCGGCTCCTATGACTCGAATACACATCAATTTTCGAGCTCCACTGTTATCTGCTACATTTAAAAGGGTCTGAGGTTGAATCATATTATTTTGATTTCCATTTGTTATTTCAATGCAAAAGGATGAAAGAAATATTGTCTTTCCAGAAAGAAAAACCAGGGGTTTTTTATCTTCAATACTCCTTTTTTGGGTTCTATATCTCTAATCGAAGAAATTGACTTCGTATGGGCATTTTACTGGCAGCTATAGAGATAGCTGCTCTAGCTACAGTTTCGGATACTCCGCTCATTTCATAAAGTATTCGACCTGGTTTAACAACGGCTACCCAATATTCGGGGGATCCCTTTCCCGAGCCCATACGTGTTTCTGTGGGTCTTATTGTAACCGGTTTGTCGGGAAATATACGCACCCATATTTTTCCACCACGACGTGCATATCGTGTCATTGCTCTTCGTCCTGCTTCTATCTGTCTCGCGGTGATCCAAGCGGGTTCAAGTACTTGAAGAGCATATCTACCAAAACAAATATGATTGCCTCGGCAGGATTTTCCATTCATTCTTCCTCTATGTTGTTTACGAAATCTAGTTCTTTTGGGGTTATAGTCGATGGTTCTTTCTTAGTTCCATCTCTACTACAAAACTGGACATGAGAGTTTCTTCTCATCCAGCTCCTCGCGAATGAAATGAGAAAGCGTGCGAATTTCATTTCTCTAATTCCATAATATTCCAAAATATTATAGAAAAATATTATAGATAGGTACACATCAATATATAATAGAAAAAGTTAGGTTTTTTTGATTTTGACTTTCTTAAAAAAGAAAAATAAATTTGGACTTTCTTAAAAAAGAAAAATAAATATATAGTCAAGAAAGAAGATCTAGAATATATCAAAATTCAATATTTATATAAAATGTAATCCTTCCTTTTTAGGAATCTCCTTTTTTTTATTCTTATTGAATCGTGGTAAAGTATTCTAATCCAATAAGGATTTCGCGGGCGAATATTTACTCTTTCCTGTCTTATTTGTTAATTTAGAACCTTATCAAATAAAGCAATTTTTTTGGTTTGTTCCGCCATCCCACCCAATGAAGTGTTAGGATTCTTTCCAATAAAATCCTATGTAGTCATAGGTTTTGTCGTTCCCACAGCTTCTCCTTTAATGGTTAGGTTTGAATCCTGCAATGGAGCTTCCAAAAAATTTATTTCCGAGTCAATTTTCTCAGTTTTATTAACCCGGCTGCTCTTTATTTATTGCTTTATATTTGTTGTTTCAAAAGTAAAGTTACGATTTCGAATTCTCTCTTTTTTTTTTTTTTAGAATTTTATTATATTGATGCTTTATCACATTGCCTTTTTTTTATGATGTAATTCATAGACCATACACATGGGAATCCTATATCTTTCTTATTCTTCTTCCTTCTATCTATCATCCCTCCTTTTATCCACATCCCTTTAGTTTTGCTTCACAGCCTAGAATCAGGTTTCTTTTGTAGAGAAAAAAATGCAGTTGCTACAACTATATGATAGATCTACTAATTTTTGATAGATGTATTTATTCACATAGTGACTGTTTCTTAGTTAGGATCTCGACAATACGAAGCAATAGGTTGGTTATTAGTTAATTTTCTATCATTACTAAGTTTTTTTCTATTTTTAGTAGGGTTCAGACAATTTTTTTTTATTTTTGACCCTAAAGAAAAAACTAACGAGTCACACACTAAGCATAGCAATTATATTAAAAGATTTATTAATTTTCATTAAATCTTATAGAAAGAGGGATACTTTCTTCTTTTTTTTAGGGATTTTTGGAAAAACAAGGTTCTTGTCTTTTTTATTCTATCACTGGGCGGAATGGGAAGACATGGTTAGTTATTCTTCTTCTACGAATATCCAAATTTTGACACCTAATACTCCATAGATAGTTCGAATTGGATAGCAGCAATAATCAATTTTAGCGCGAATTGTTTGGAGGGGTAGTCTACCCTTTTTGATGCATTCGGCACGTGCAATTTCTTTTCCTGCTAGACGACCCGCAATTTGGATTTTTATTCCCTTTATATCCGCTTTTTTAGTTAATTCAATAGCTTTTTTCATTGCTTTTCGGAATGAAACTCTATTTTTTAATTGGAAAGCTATATATTCCGCAAGAATATTAGGTTGTCTATAAGGTTCTTTAACCTTTTCGATAGAAATATTAAGTCTCTGGTTTACAGAATTAACTTCCTTTTGGAGATCTTTCTCTAATTCTTCGATTGCTCCCTTTTTCTTTAATAAATTGGGGAATCCAATATGGATTATGACGTGGATTGTATCGATTTCTTTTTGAATTTCTATATGTGTAATTACTTCAGAACTTGAGTCTGATTCCATTTTTCTATTCGAGCCTTTTTTCCTATTCTTTTGTATATAGTTCTTGATACAATTCCGTATTTTTTTATCTTCCTGTAGACCTTCAGAATAATTTTTTGGTTGTGCGAACCAAAAGGAATGGTGATTTTGGGTTGTACCAAGTCTGAAACCGAGTGGATTTATTTTTTGTCCCATATTTTTCTATTATATTTCTTTTTTTTTACTGGGAATCGAAATTTTAGATTGATCTAAAGATTATTTAGATTTCTTTACTATATTTAGTACAATTGTTATATTACACATCGTTTTTTTTATAGAATAACTACGTCCTCGAGCTCGAGGTCTGAATTTTTTCATAATAGTACTCCTACTGACTTCGGCTTTAGTGATGAATAAATTTGTTTTGTCGAAATCCCTATAATGAGTAGCATTTGCTGCTGCCGAATAAACCAACTTTAAGATGGGATACGATGCTCTATAAGGCATGAGATTCAGTATCATAACGGTTTCCTCGTAGTAACGCCAGCGAATCTCATCTAGAACTCTTTGTGCTTTGAAAACAGACATATGTATGCGTTTTTGTGCTTTGAAAACCCGTTCGAATTTAAGTAGACGATCGGTTGGAACTTTTCTTGCGAGTTTTCTCAGCCCCTTCTTCTTCTTCTTTATCCTAGGGGTATACTTTACCAATTTGAAACTTGTCATAAATAAGGTTATTACCCGCCTATCTTTATTTTATTTGATTATTTGAATCCTATAACTATAAATTTTGTTTATTCTGAATCTTTCTATTCTGAATTCAATTAACGACGAGATTTAGTATCCTTTCTTGTACTTTCATAACTCGTGAAATGCCGAGTAGGCACGAATTCCCCCAATTTGCGACCTACCATAGGATTTGTTATGTAAATAGGTATATGTTCTTTTCCATTATGAATCGCGATTGTATGGCCAACCATTGCGGGTAGAATGCTAGATGCCCGGGACCACGTTACTATTATTTCTTTCTCCTCCTTCATATTGACCTTTTCGATTTTTGCCAATAAATGACGAGCTACAAAAGGATTCGTTTTTTTTCGTGTCACAGCTGATTACTCCTTTTTTTCATTTTAAAGAGTGGCATCCTATGTCCACTATCTCGATCGAGGTATGGAGGTCAGAATAAATAGAATAATAATGAATGGAAAAAAGAGAAAATCCTTTAGCTGGATAAGGGGCGGATGTAGCCAAGTGGATCAAGGCAGTGGATTGTGAATCCACCATGCGCGGGTTCAATTCCCGTCGTTCGCCCATCGCATTATTGCAATTTCCAAAAATGCAATTTTCCATATTCCTAGTTACGTATTTACTTACGGCGACGAAGAATAAAACTATCACTATATTTTTTCCTTTTCCTAGTTCTTCTTCCAAGCGCAGGATAACCCCAAGGGGTTGTGGGTTTTTTTCTACCAATGGGGCTTTTTTCCACCCCCCCCCCCATGGGGGTGGTCCACAGGGTTCATAACTACCCCTCTTACTACGGGGCGTTTACCTAGCCAACACTTAGATCCGGCTCTACCCAAACTTTTTTGGTTCACCCCAACATTACCCACTTGTCCGACTGTTGCTAAGCAGTTTTGGGATACCAAACGGACCTCCCCAGATGGTAATCTTAAAAGTGGCCAATTTACCCTTTTTGCAATCAGTTTCGCTACAGCACCTGCTGCTCTAGCTAATTGCCCACCCCTTCCACGTGTGATTTCTATGTTATGTATGGCCGTGCCTAAGGGCATATCGGTTGAAGTAGATTCTTCTTTTTTATCAAAAAACCCCTTCCCAAACTGTACAAGCTTCTTCCAAAGCATACGGCTTTCTAGATGTATATGACGATCTCTAGACAGAGACAGATGGATCTTATATGAATCGTATGATGAAGTACCACATGAGTGGATATATAGAAAAGGAATCCAAATCCGCCGAATCGCTCATGTTATGATCTTCTACATCCTAGGTCTCCGCGTTCCGTCATCTGGCTTATGTTCTTCATGTAGCATTCAGATCGAATGACTCTATGAAATTACGTCGATACTTCCACATATTATGGGTAACGTAGGAGACATCCCTATTTTCACCCGGGGGTCTTAATTACCACTGCTTAGCTTTCAATTCGCCTCTGACCATCAAGTAAACCTTGATATCTGTAACCTATAGCTGCTAGAGGGAACTGGGTATATTTAGAGATTCTTGTCATGCTTGTTGAGCCAAACAGCCATCTCTTTCTTAAACCTCTCCATCGTCGGCCTCGGCAGCAGCAGCGACACCACCGTGGAGTCCTCGCCGTCCTCGTTCTGGCACCTCATGTGATGGCTTCCCAGCTTGGAAGTAAGGTCGCCGGCGAGTGGTATGCCGCCGCCCACATACTCAGCCCACCCAAGCTGCAGTCCTTTCCCGGCAGCAATCCATCTGGTGTCAGAGACCTCGTACGTCCTGTCCATGGTCAGAGACGGCCTCTGACGGATGTACGCGGTCGTATCCACCATCGATGCCAGGCACTCCTTGGTCACACTGAGCTTGGTCTCGCGCACGAGCTCAACCGTGTCGGCGAGCGTCTGCCGGCAGAGCTCGTCGACGGTCAGTTCCACTATAGGAGAAACATGTGCATTGCCATAGTAACCCCATGGGATGAGGGTGTGGCGATTCCACCTGCCACGGGCATTCATGGTGACCATAAGCCGCACTCGCTGGCTAGGTTCATACCCCAAAGCTATGGTGCGGCATCGCCACATGACTGCAGTTAGAAGCTCGAAGGATGTGGTTGAATCGGCGAGGTGTCCTGGTATGTGGCTTCGTAGAGCGCCCACCTCTCTTTGCCCAAAGACAAAGTATTGGTCTACCATCCGATTGGGCGGAATTGACAGCATCACGTCATCTGATGTAGAGTCTAAGCTATTTAGCAGTGGTTTGTATGCAGGGTTTGGGTATGGGATGGGGGTTGTGTTGTGTGCTGCAGTTAGAAGCTCTCTTTTCCAGACTGGAAGAAGGCTCGGGGATGCTTTAACCATTAGTTCAGTTACACTTGTCATGAGTTGAATCATACCGAATCCATCGGCGATGTTATGGCACATGTGGAATCCAACAACAAATCCGCCACATTTGAATTCTGTCACCTATATATGAGAAAATAAAAAGGCGACGTCACTTGATAAGAAAAATATACCTATCTCAACCTACTTATGCATTCAGTACATTCATTTTTGATATCTTGCAACTACAAATAACTTCAGAAACTTTCCTGAAATATGAATCTTTCTAGCTGTACAATAGAAATCATCTAAACAAAATGGGAAAATATCACAAAATCAGAAACCTTTTATGATTCCAACCTATATATACAAGGAACTCCGTTGTTTCTAGGTACCAGGTTTCTTTTTTCCTGACCAGAATGGTTTAATTCTTTTTCCGAAATTTAATTTATAGCCAGAGGGCGCAATGCAACAAAAATATTACTATATATGGAGAGTTTTTTCTGCCGGCAACATCTTCTAATAACCATATCTCCTTTTCAGCCAATATCCACTTCTTTCCAACTTAATATTTGAAAAAACTACTTTTGCAGGCTCTTTGGAGTTTGGTCTTGACTCTTGACCTATTAAAGTGAACTATTTGTATGATTACTTCATGTTAGAGTGTGTAATGTTTCCGTAGGTTCAAACTTCATTGGCCTGAAGGCCAGTCCAATAATGTATGTGTTGGTAGACTCATGTATATGTACATGTACGATAGAAGAGAGATTGAGCAGAGTGTTTCAAACATTTCCCACCTCTAGATGGTGTTAAAGCCATGCAAAATATTAGCAATAATGGTGGTGATGAACATGCTGCTGCGGTGGTGAAAGGGAAGGATTTGGTGCCACACACTTACATGAAAATCGGGACGAGTCGGTTCTGTGCGACAGAGCAATGAAAGAGCAACGACAGAAGCGTGCGAATGAGATGGAAAAACGCATGGCAGTGGGCAGCGCAGGTGAAGAAAGGGGCGAGCTCCAGCTTTGTGCTTTGTGTCGTGGTGTTTTAGGTCCAGTTTGGTTACTAGGGCAACCTCGCCAGGCCAAGCTAGCCTTACCTTACCATGGCAAGGAGAGAATCTTGCTATTCTGGGGATAACAAAGGGAAAAACCTTGCTAGCATAGGAAACGAGGAAACTTGCTACCTATATATCAAAACACTCACATACATTTGATTGCCTAGCAAGATGAGAAAATGGTTTTGGAACTTCAAATAAGGATCCAAACACACCCAACGTTCTTGTTGATTGGATGAGGTCGTTTGAGAAGCGAGCAAGGACCTTGTCCAACGGCCTGTGTGGTGGCCAGCACGCCTCGACGCTCCCTGGCCAGGTTGGCTGGTTGCTGGCCATGCAGCAAAATTATTGATTTGATTTTATAAGCTGTTATCTTTCTAGAGTTAGCCCGATTTGGGTTTGGATTTTGATCACTGGGGGATTTTGATTCAGTCTCGATTTTGTCCTTGGCACCTTGCTCCCTGGCACCTACCTTGCCGATTTGGGCTCGTCGGTTTGGAAAATCCATGTATAGATCTTGGAGACCTGAGCAAATCTATTTGATTTTGAATTGGGGATGGTTAGATAGGACTGTGGAGGCCAGACGAAAATTTGAGGCAGAAATTTTGCCTCTTTATTATTAGGTATAGATATAAATATAGATATAGATATAGATATAGAAGAAGAGAGAAGAAGGTTCAAAACTTTCCCGACTTCTACATTTTACTTTTAGTTTTGGTATATTTAAATGCAATCTTGTGATGCCTCAAGCTTGAATAATCTCAATCACAAATTTAAATTTTTCCAAGGATACATATTTTTTTGAGGCATCAGAAAGAAGTCTTACATGTAAAGATGTAGCAGCACACAGCTAAGATTACAATTGTATCTGAAGATCTGGTTATATATTGCAGGAATTTCGTTAAAAAGAAGAGTTTAAAAAATATGTCAGAAATGCATATCCACTTCTCACGTTCTTAGGAGATTTTAAAAGATTTCCCCAAAATATAGAACGCACATGGAGAACGGTTATATAAGGGAAAGAAGAGAAAGAAAAATACGACATATAATAAGATAATAGGTACCTGCATGAAGAGCAATGGTCTGCCAATGATGGCTTTTACATCACCAGGGTCGCACAGCAGCTGGTCCAGGCACGGATACGGCGGCAGCAACGGCTCCCCGAAGTCCTGCAGCCGCACGTCGGCGTCGGCCTGGACGAAGACCACGCCTTCCGCGGTGCAGTCCACGACGAGCTTCCCTCCGGCTTCCTCCCTGAGGCGGCCGGCGACGGGGTAGTAGTACACCAGCGCCTCCGCGAGCGCCGCCTTGAAGGCCCCCTTGAGGTCGGCCGGCCTGTCGGTCCGCCGGGCGGGGCAGTTGCGGAAGAAGCCGACGACCGTCTCGTAGTAGCGGAGCGGGTGCTGGTCGTCGATGTCGGACAGCGGCTTGGTCTCGCGTGGCGTCGGCCGTGCCGGCGACACCAGCTGTGGCTCTCTCCGGCGTGCCTTGAAGGACACCATTTTGTTGTTGTCGATCTCTAGCTATTGGTTTGGATTTTGGACGACTGCTGTGTGACAGTGTGTGAGTGTTGATTATTTTCAGCTGGCTGGCGATACTTAGTACGTATTATATAGATGTGTATCCATAGCACCTGGCCTGATGATGAAACAGCCAAACCAAGGTGACGTACGTTATGCATCCATAGACGTTCCTAATAATTGAGGCAATCAAGTTTGCTGGCTGGCCTTGGCCAGCCTTGTTGATATGGGATATGCAGTAGTAGTCCATAATTACTGCTGCATTGCCAGCTCAAGTTATGTAGTACTACAACCCTCAGTTCTCGATTATAATTCGTTAGACTTTTTTGACTGAAAGTTTGACCACTCGTTTTATTCAAAAAAATATATGCAAATATACACAAATTTAGGTCATACTTCAAGAACTTTTATTAATAAAATAAGTCACAACAAAAGAAATGATATTTTACACATAATTTTGAATAAAACGAGTTGTCAAATATTTGATCAAAAAAGTCGAACAAATTATAATTTGAAATGGAGAGTACTGTAGTATGCATGGATGCCTGGGATTACAGTGCTGCACCAGCAGATGCAGACAAATATATAATCGAGCCATTATTACTCCCTCCCACAGTACTGTAGCAGCCTGGTAACCAGGCAGTAATATATAAGCAAGCAAGCTGGCTGGCTGGCCTTGGCCAGCCTGTTTGATATGAGAGACTCCATATGGCGACAGGACAATGCAACAAATAGTCTATTCCATTTTTTGTAGGCTTCCCTCAAACAAGTTTGATCTGGTCAAAAGGACTCTCTCTTGGCCGTTTCTCGAATATCTAGGACGACGTAGCGCAAAATTTGGTTTTTTTTTTTTCCGATAACGTGTGCTGCACGTATTTAATTAAGAAGTTTTGGAATACAAACACCAGCATGCCACGGCGAGGTGCCAGGCGCCAACACATAAACACAAATGAGTTACACTTTGGATGTCTACATTTGGACTAATTGCGCAAAACATGGTCATGCCAACAAAACTAATAAGGCCCTTAAAAAAATGACCAACCTTAATTACAGAAGCTGCAATAGTCCAACAAAATAAAAAGATGAATCAATGAGTCACTACTACAGATCTAATATTCCCTAACGGTAAGAAACCAGCAGTGATGACAGTGATAGGACCAAGCGACACTGATATTGGGTTATCACTGTCGGTTTGTAGCTAAAACCGACACTGATACTATCACCGTTGGTTCTAGCCAAGAACCGACACTGATATGGTACAAGAAAACTTTCTTAATTTTCTCATACGATGTCCAATGAAGACGAACTTTATATCAAAGTTGTAGTACCCGACAAGATTTACAACTTTGTAGTTCAAACTTTTTTGATTTGAAATCGTTTGTATGTCTAAATATACACCACAAGAGTTTGTAGAGTTAGTACCAAAGGAGTCCATATTCTCCATAGTCATAAGTGAGTGTGTAGTGGTAGTTAAGGATCTCGAATGGAGAAGTAACCAAAACAAAAGTTGTAGATACTGAAAAGTTATGCAACTTTGTAGTTTACAAGTTTCTTATTTGAAGTCGTTATGATGTCACTCTATTTGATTCGCAAGATTTCATAGAAGTTAGTACCAACTAAAGACATATGTTCCATAGTCATAAGTGAGTGTGTAGTGGTATTTAAGAATCTTTGATGGAGAAGCAACCCAAACAAAAATTGTAGATCTCGAAAAGTTATGCAACTTTGTAGTTGACAACTTTTTCATTTGAAACCATTTAAAATTTGAATTTTCAAATAACCTCGGATGACGAAACACCCAAAACAAATGTTGTAGATCTCAAAAAGTTGTGTAACTTTGTAGTTGACAACTTTTTAATTTGAAATCATTTACCCAACAAAAATTATGGTTGAAT